GAGGGGCTACATATAACTTAGTAAAACCAATAGCTCCTTTGAATTCAATCAGTTCTAAATCTCAAACTTAAAAATATCATCGAATTTAAAAAAGTTTAGAAATATGTAATTATATATGTAAGAACAGTTATTTAATTCATTTGTTTTTGAGTAGGTATACCTATGTAGTATGTTTTATTATTTTTGATTTTTTTTTGTTTTCCACAATTAAATTTGTCTAAATACAGTGCACAAGAACAAAATAAAGGACATGTAAATACTCCAAGAATATTGCATGTATTTTACATTTCCAAAATAAAATTAAATATAATTAATTCAAGGATTAATTATTTTTGGAAAAATAATTGATGATTGTACACTGTTAAAAATGATCATTAATTAAAGTTATCTCTTGCGTTATCTTAATTTATATTATAGTTATTTTGCTTTATCTTAATTTATTAGTATGTCAATTAATTTTATTAAATATAATTTAGTGGTATTACATGGTTTTGTATTTATGTCAATTATTATGATACGGATACATAAAGTAGCAAATAACTACATACATCCGGAAACGTGTGTTTTTACTCTTTGCTCAGATTTACATAATACATATATAATATTATCACAACCTATAAAACAGCTGATAGTAGTCAGTAGTCACGTGTAGGTGTGTATTTACAGGGACTACGTGTGGTATTATCTTTGGAATTTCTTTGTACGATGGTAATATTATGGTATTATGCGTATCGCGTCGCAATGTCTGATGTCGTTCACGTCTATACCGTCATATGCATTCCACCTGGAAGGGATGATGTTTGCCCGCGTACCGGATGGCAGATGCTTCACTTTGTTGTGTCAATGGCTTCTCAAAATAAATCCATATTTTTCATTCGATCGTAATCGTAAATATTGGTGTTAAAATGCGTTGACAACTAGTAGGTGTTGGTGATACACCAAAGCGCATTAAAAATAAATGTTGTTTATTTGGTCATGTCGTGTATAATATCATATTATACTTAATAAGTAGTGTGTAATGTATTTTCATTATTCATTAATTAATCACCGCTACTCAATAGTCTTTGAAAACTGTAGAATCGTAATTTAATCAAATTTAGAAAATGCTTATCAGTTGACTAAGTTATATACAGCTTGATTTGAATTACAACGATCAAACGATCATGTATGATAAGTAGTAAATATAATACAGTGCATTTTAAATGTTTGGGATTAGGTAAATCTAAATCCTCGGTAGTCTAGTGAAGAGCCAATAATAATATAGAATAAGCTTTAGGAGTTTTACTGAAGTTGTTTTTGAGGAAACAATAAGATAAAGTCCCTATAAACAATGATATAACTATTATTACTTATAAAGTTATAACTATAATGACCAATTATATCTTCTGCATTATGGGTTCGTCGAGAATATAAAGTTCAACATATTTATTCATACCTAGATAAAAGCATAATATATAATTACGTCATACTATGATTTTCACCTAAATATTTTAATTTTATATTATTGGTATTTGTTTTTATTTGTAACCATTACATATCATACATTATACTGATGATTATTGTATGATGTTTCATTGAATTTTTAATACACTTGTTAATAAGAAAAAACAATACAAAACATAAATGCTATAATATTTTTTATAATAAACGTAATTATATACAATTTTAAGTTGTAACTAAATAGCCTATACAATATACCTACAAATGATTGTTTCACATTTCGTTTATTTTTTCATACAGGTTTCATTAGTCGTCTGAATATCATGTTGGTACTTTTCTTAAACTATTATTGTAGCAAAACACAACAATTTTTATTAGGTATACAATCATCATTCACCAGGGACGTATACTTTGAAATTATTTTTTCGTAATTCGTTATCAGTTAGAATAGTTATAAAATACAATATTGCATCAAAATGATATGGGCAGCCAATTAATTAGTAAACATGTAGTATGTGTATCACCGAATACCATGATGATAGGACATGGATTAACGGAAGAATATTGTAATAGTTAACGTATATGATATGTATTTGATCATTCTCTTCATCCCTTAAGAAGACGCCAAAACCACATCTTTTTCGAACGTACAACATACTACATAGTATATTTGTATTCAATAGTTATAATTTTTAATGTTATGAAATAAGCTTTAATAATAAAATGAATTGACTTATGATCAAACTTAAAGTTGGACGATTGCTCATGTTTTTTGTAGTTATTAAAGATATTTCAATTTTATTAATGTCCAAACTCTTATCTTCATTAAAAATAAAATTATCGTATACAACTCAGGGGTTCTCTTAATATATTGTAACTGAAGTAGTAATTTGCTCTAATTTAGCTAATTCATCATGATTTCRATTTTTACAATAAAGTATAAACAGAATATAAAGCTAGCCGCTAGGCACAATAAAACAATATATTTTAGATGTAATCTCTAATAATACATAATTAGTTTTCATAGTTATTCAGTAATTTTAAATAATTATATTTATTTGAGATCACGTTAMACGATTGAGATGTTTTATTACGTGACAGAAATTAGGTCAAAGATAAAATTCAATAATAATCCACGAACAAATAAAATTCCCTAGTATACAATAATATAGTCCCCTCGTTTCATATAATATACTTGTATAGCGTTATTATTATATATTTTTTAGAACTTACAATGCTATCAAAAAAGTTAAAATTTGTGATATCTGTGTAAAGGAAGATCAGTGTATGGACTCGTCAAAATATGTTGAAACTTATATGAAATATTTAAAACAAATTATTATTCTATATAATAAAAACAAATACATAAAGATTTTACTTTTTTGAACGATAGTATAGGTATAGTAGGTAGTTGATTTTTAGTTCAAATTTCAAACAATCAATTTTTTTCAATATTTGAACTTCAAATATCAATAAAAACAATTGTTTTTATGTAAGTACCTATTATATTGATACTAACGAATTGCTGTAAGAATAACTTATGAAATGTTTTAGATACATTACATCTTATGCTTTTTGACCGAATATAACAATTTTTATCAATATTTTTTATATATATAATAATTAATAACGTTTATTGAATATTTACAATCTATACTATGTAGTAGGTATGTACAATGAGTAAGTAAAAAGTATTTTTGCTTTAAAATCCCTTTTTGCCTAATTATTTTGTTTTCTATTTTCTTTTTATTAAACTGTCCATCCTAAACAACACTCATAGTTGAAGATGGAAGCATTTTTACTATTCATCAAGGTGCCGTTGGAGTAGGACACACACACGCTCAAAAAAAAAAAAAAACAATCAGTGTAAAATCAATACATACAACGCATCGCTCAGAACCTAAAATTAACCATATAATCTATGCATTACATTACATCAAATTATTTAATAAGAATTTAAGTCAAGTGCAGAAAAATGTATTTACATAAAATCTGATCTTAGATGCCTGTATTAAATATTAAATTTACGGTAAATGAATTAATGGACTATAGGTACTAGGTACTATAGATATATTATATTATACTATAGGTACTCCGCTAATCTAAATTTTAAATACGTATTATAAAACTATCTAATTAATTACTCTATTAAAACTAAAATTTTATGTTTCAATATACCAATATAACTATCAAACTTTTAGGTAAAAAAAAGGCTGTGTTCTCTCGATGATTTTTTACAATATTTTAAATTTCAAGTGAATTGTGAGCATTTTAAAATATTAATACTTTACATACTCATAATTCACTTAAAAATTGTAATATCATAAAAAAACCAACGATATAACACAGAATATGTTCTTACCTAAAAGTTTTGTAATACGTCAATTTACTTTTATATAAAAAATAACGGCGCACTATTGAAATTAGTGAACAAATATTTGCTATGTTGTATGTGTTTAAGACGGAGACATCACATATGTGTACGACGTCCTCTCTGGTATAAACCTTAGTCCGTTCTATAACTATATTATATATATATATAATGGTTTGGTATTTATTTAAATGGTATATCATAGTAATAATATAATACCATAATATAATACTAACCTATCAAATAGCATATTACTTATGTAATAGATACATCTAATATTAGGTATATCCGTAAATAGCCATATATAGATAGATACCATTATATAGGTACATATTAAGATTTGATTATATCAATATACTTTGAAAACCATTTATATAGTAATAGGAACATTGTAAAAATGCTAATATTTGGATATTTTGATACACAATTTTTTTTTTCAATTTAGTGAATCGTAAATAATTTCTTTAAAAAATTAGAACTAAATATTTAGTTTTCTGGAGCCGTGAAGTGAGAAATTATAAGCTCAAACCAAAAACAACGTTTTGTGACTCAATATTGTTGAACATAATATGTATCTAATATTCAATAATATAGTAATAACTATCAACTAATAAGTAATAACACATATAGTATATAAACACATATTATAGTATACACTGTATGTACTAAACTATAATGCATAGTGTAGGTAGGTATCTATATATAGTAAGTACAGTATAACTGTATTAAATTATATCTTATGGTGTATTGTACGTATAGTTATAAATTTTTTTTTGATGGTATAAATAATGATACAATATTGTATCTGCTTTTAATTACTATTCTGTCAAGATAGTTTTATTTGATGTGACAATTATTACCACTTGTCGAGAGCTAGTTTTAAATGTATTTATTTACTTTTCGTATTTCGTGCTAAAAACTTACCTACGCATTTTGTATTTATCTTACATATCGGTTTAGTTTTGAATTGATTATTTTAAACAAACAATTTCATGAATATTGTGTATAATAAAAATATATAATAACTAATAAGTGTATAAACTATAATGTCTTGAGTCTCGCGGGCGGGGTTCAATTTTTAATGATATACGCTGCGCGGGTGAATCGTATAAAATATAATAGGTGTACTATTGTCTTACTCCACAATACACAAAGTCTAGTAACTGAGCTCTACGATATAATGACTTACCGATAAGAAACGATGGTTCTCTTTCATCGTCTACTAACGATGCAAGGATTAGCATCAGAGGATGGTTATGAGGCACTCTGTCTAAATCTGTAGTCGAGTCATCGTACACCACAATTTCTCTATAACCACGCCTCCTGAGGGCGTCTTTGGCATCCCTAGATGACGCCAACTCCACCAAAGTGGCTTTTCCAGTTTGCAATCTCCGTCTGTTGATACGGTCGGCGATGTTCACGTTCACAGCACCTCTCACATGACTGACGTTATAGCATACAAAAGACCGACAGTCAATGGTTAAAATCGCTGGCCCGAAAAGTTCCAATTTTTGTCTAAAATATTCACTGCTCATTCGTTTTACCTATAGTCATAATAAAATAGTTAACGCTGTTATTGGTAGTAATAACATAATTAATAATAATAATGGCGATGATAAAGARTAATAATAATATTCATAATAATACAAAATGTAATAATAAATAAAAAACGGATGACGTGCCATTTTACTGATGTATATAGCACTGAAGCAGAAAGCAGATCTAACTCGACTAGATATTATATTCAACCTTTTGACGTTATTACAGAGATAATATATATTACTCGCGTTATATGATATAGGTGCCTATTAGTATCAAGTTTTATAATATTTATAGATGTAGTATATTAAGTCATTCTTCGGTGAGTCAGTTTACAGCTTGTGGATAGATCGGCAATTGGTCGACACAAATAAATACTTGATAAAAAATAATATAAAAGGTTTATATAAAACCGACATGATTGCTATATTATAAYATAGTTCAGAGGGGCTCATTATCTTCTTGAAGAATAAACAAAAATAAATTAAATATATATATATRTACAATATTGTATTATAATACGCGTACCTTGTTGAGTATTAGAGCACCGCTTAAATGTGTGCCGTCAGAATTAGGACTAGCGGGTAAACTAGCCGGTAGACTAGGTATGGATTCCAATCGAAATCGTTTCGAGGTTGTCGGTGTAGTAACAGTAATCGGTGGTGTTGCTGGGCCCGGCTCACTGATACTCCTGTTCAGACTGAGCCTAAGCCCAGCTCGGGATCTACCACCGACTCCACCCTCGTAACAGACAGCCGACATGGAGCAACGTTGTTGGCGAGCTTTCAAACTGCAAACTGTAAATCAAATATTATAGGTTAATTAAAAATTATCAGTAGTGTCTTAAGCTACAATAGTCAAATATTTGTTTTAATTACGTCCATACACACGATTACAATGTAATACCAAAAAATGCGAATTATTTCGATGATTTGTTGAAATTATTTAAAATAAAATCATCCATATTGAATACACTAAATAATAAATACAAGTATAAAGTATTAAAGAATATTTACAATGCTTGTATATTTAAGTCATAGGAAATTATAAATTGCAATTACGTGAGCCATAAAGCATAAATTAGAATAAAATAACCATATAACATATTATACTGTCAGTATAATATGTTTTAAACGATGGTATTAAAAATCAATATTATTTAAACTTCATAGAACATCTATAAAAATTAATTTTGAATAAATAATTGTTAAATGTAATTATACATAATAAAAATTAATTAATTGATGCATTTAATGAAATAATATTTTACACTAACATACTACCTATATTATTTTATATTTTCATATAAGTACGAAATCTGGATGTAAATACACAAAAATATAATAAGCAGAGAAAATTTTAGAAAAAAATTAATACTTTTTCAAAATAATTCATTTGTCTTATAAATATATTGTATGATACCTATTTAAAAATTAATGAACGTGAAAACATCTAAAAAATAACAGTACCTTTTTGATAATTTTTTTGTATTATTATTATTGTCTATTGATAAAAATGTTATTCTCAATTTAAAATTATATAAATTAGGCACCCCACACCAGTAATTAATAACTTTAATATTATCTGTTATATACTTATATATCAATGTATTATTAGGTTTTATCATATAAAATAAATAATTATATTTACATAAATATTTTGATTTGCAATTAAATATTATAATATTTTCAAAACAAACTAAAATTATTAATATGCCTTTTGATTAAATGTTAACTGTAAGTACGTGTTTAGAGTACTTGTGTAATTTATCATACTTATTAATGTAATTTGATTGTAATTTTTTTTTTTTTACAATTTACGTACTTATAAAATTAAGACGACATAATGTTTATTACGTTTTATATGATAACGACTGGTGAATTTTTCTTTAAACATTACATATTTCATTTTTATACATAAACGCGAGTAGATGTGAATATGTGATATAAGTACATGCACTTGAATGATTGGAGATAGTAACTAAATTAACTTAAATTTGGTGATTAAGTAATTTTATAAATAACACAATCATAAATAGTACATAATATTATGTATTTTTTCATGATACTACACAATTCTTAACTCAAACTGTTTATAAATATATTCTTTTTAAAATGGAGAGTATTAATAAATTAATAAATATTACTTTGAAACTTTAAAAAAATATATTTTTACACTTAGCAAGGTAATTAAAATACAATTATTGGTACTTTCATAAAAAGTACACTCATTTGTATACAATTATTTTAATGATTTACAAGAAACCTAGATTATATTTTATGGTTTTTTACAGCGTTGATCATAAAAAAAAGTGGAGGGAAAAACTAGCAATAATGTAACCATTTAATTTTTTGTTAAATCTCCGTCTGTGTAATATATTATATAATTATTAATTATATTTGGGATTAGTCGCTACAGGTCTCACTGGTTTCCACTCACACCCCACAAATAATTTTCATCTTGAAATATGAGTTATAAATGTAACAAGAATTTCAATTTCAATTATTTTATTTTTAGTTTTTAGGCAAATACAAATTGTATGTCATTGCTAAAAAATGAGAATCCTTTTTCCATCGGTCATCCGTAGTTTTTACTCTTTAGTACGTTAAAATAATAATTACATTCTATATAAACAAATAAATAATAATTAATGGTGATAAATGCAATGTCTAATTAGCAATTAGCTTATTAATGCTGATAATTAAATGTGTACATATTAAACTGCATACTAAAAATTATATTAGATTTTACTAATATTTATCGGGTTCTAATTTGAAAAATTATCTTCGATATTAATTATTAATTTCGCAGTTTAACAATAATTGTTGAGCTGGGAAAATGTTTATTTGAAAGTATAGTATATCGACCCAGAGTTGTGACGATGCACACATATACGAACATTTCAAAACTGCTTCAAACGAAACACCTACACTCGAAATGTATGAGTCACCTTATTAATATAAATTGTAACGCGTTGAGTGAAATAAAAATCTTCCGATAACCGACAATCAAATAAATAAAGACACTTAAAAACTCGATGCACCAAAGACCGAACGATATCAATTTTTCTCAAGTCTTAATCAAACAAAAAACATTTTTTTTTTTTTATTATAATTTAAAATATTTAAGCACAACTGGTGCTATTACAACTTACAAATATTTATTTAAAAAAATTAATCAACAAAAAAAAAACCACGAAGGATATTCAAATTTGTTTAAAATTGCACTGATCACGTGAAAATGTTGAGATGTTGCCAATGGTTACACCATGCACTATACAAAATAGTTAAACATATGTGTAATTAGAGTGTAAAAATAAAATCAGTTTGAAAATTCTCGAAGGCAAGGAGAAGGTATTATAGTTTTCGCCGGTCGCGCGTTATTATCCGTCGCTGCAGCTGAAGAGATCGAGCGTGTTGCAGTGGTTGTCGCAACAGCGCAAAAATGTGAGATTCCCGTCGAGGTTCGATGGCCGTACATAATAACAACTATATAATATAAGTAATAACTATGTAGGTGAAACAGGTACAACACGGAGAATCCAAGGAGGAGGCACAGGATTATTTTGTTCTCTTGTCCTCCCAATGAATTTATATATATAAGTATTGCGTGCTGTTGCGTAAAAATAAAATACAATGTTATTAAAACGAACGGACGACACCTGCAGTAGGTTATAATATTATAAGGTGCCTATGGTACGGCGGTGTATAACATATAATTATTATATTATTATTGTAACGACGTTGGGAGATTTCGCGGTGAAAGTCGACTGACCGAAAACCGTTTCGAAAAAAAATATATATCCACACGGTAATGCTGGTGCCTACGATTACCAAAGACACACACACACACACTCACGAGCGCGCATGCACACACACACACACACACACATACATATTATGCACACCCATTGGTAGTAATCCGTATACGACACACACGCGCAACGCACTTACCCCAGTCATCCGGTCAGCGGGAATTCGATCTGTTCCCGTAGGAATATTTCCAGCAGCAGTAGATGGAACCCATGTCTATAGTGTGTTCCGGGCGATACGAATTTGTTGTCGAATCGCGATACGTCAACCCGACGACGACGAAGACTTACACGGTGTATAATATTCAAAAACGATAAACTGTTTATGCCTTGTTCACGCGATATTCACCTATACTACAATATTATTTCATATGGACATCGGCCGTTGGCCGGATTAAAATTCAAAAACCTTTTAAAATTATTTATAACATTGTACCTTATAACTAATATCAATATTATTATTACATATTATTTTGTTATTATTATACGTTGCGGTGCGCTGCGGACCTTACGCGACGAACCCGTGTGTGGATGGCGCGCACGAGTTTCGTACAGTGTCCGTGTATCGGTATTACGGTCGTGGTAGTCGYGGTAATAGTAGTAGTAGTAGTAGTTGTGTATAGTAGTAGTAGTAGTAGTGCTGGTAGTAGAAGTGGTAGTGGTGTGGCGGTGGTACGAAAAAACTCGTGGAGAACAGCGCGGGCGCGCTCGCGATCAATCGATTGTTGTCCCGCGGTGCGTCGTCATCGATTCCGCTCGTGGCTCGCGCCCTATGTTAATGTACTACAACAACGCGGAAACCATAACATCGCGCCGCGGCGATATCGTCGCGTTAAAAATCGAGCGCGTACACGGCCAGGTACGACGAGCAATCCCACCGTACCGTGGCCCGGGCATGCGGTTGTCTTCGACGGGGGGTTGGCGTCTTGGTGGAGGGTCGTAGAAGACACAGAAGGGGTGATGATCGAAGTGCGTAAGACGCAGCAGCGGCCTACAATTAATATTCCTCTACCCGGGCCCTACCCCGCGACCCGGGGAGATTTATCGTCACCGACGATGCACGGACAGGTGTGACAAACATCGATATCAATACTACACGGTCACCGACGGCGATAGTTGTCCGCCACGATGATGCGGCGGTGCGTGGAGGGGGCAGTCATCGGCGGCGGCGCGCGGCGGTCTCGACGATGAGTCATGCGATCACATGCCTATACACACACACTCGCACACGCGGCCCGAATCGACCTTACGAAACCGCTGCAGTGGCACTATTTTATAATATAGTTTTACGCGCACACAGAACTGTTTCGATGGCGGTCCGTGTATCTTTGTGTGTGTGTGTTTTGGGGGGAGAGGGGTATTTGTGAGCGCAAAGAGGACGGACTGACTGCAACCTTGCTCACGGACCGCCGTGCAATAGTGCGCACATTGTATAATAATATTATGTACAAATAAATATTATCATTTTTATTATTACTATTATGTAGTAGTGYGTATAGTACCAGTCGAGAGGAGGATCTTACCGGATAAAAATATTGTTCGATTAAAAAACGGAATAAAACCCATATTCGTACTAGTTGTGTTTATATTATAGTATAGGCTGTGTTGGGTATCCCAACATCCATCGAATATGGAATCACAAATATGAAATTATTTTGGACATCAGTTTTGTTATTATTAAAGGATTTGTTAAACACGACGTGTTGATTGTATTCAAAACCATTTGAAGTATATTTTAAAATAATGATGGTTGAGTGTAGTTCATCAAATGGACTGGAAAAGTGTAATTTGGAAAAAAACAACTATAAAAATATTACTATGATATGCCGTACACTAAACTATAGTCACAAGTCACTATGCAGGGCAAATATGAAGACAAATTTTTTAGAAAATTTTGTTCGTATTAATCCCTTACCAGAGTATGCCTCATTCTTGTGCATTATTTTTATACATGTATATATCGGTTGCAACCGAAGTATCGGGTTAAATAGGCTTTTTGTCTTATTCGAACTGTATAATAAGCGACGCCCCGTCCAATTTTACTTTAGAGTACTGAATTACAATGTTTTTTTCGTGACGGCAATGTCGTTGACATAGCACGAGTCGACAATACAATAGGAACATTATTATATTATTGTTATTATTACTATCACTTGAATTTAAATAATACATCGACGTTCAAGTACTCGAGTTCGACGTCTCTGCTCGTTTATTTCGAGTTTAAGACTCAAGTAGGTGGTGTTTATCTTATTTTTTTTTTTTTTGCATTATTATTAATATAGGTAAAGTACCAGTGAATGATGTCATCGGCCGTTATGAAATAGAAGTAATCAAGTAAATCGTATAGGTACATTTAGATACGGTGGTTACATTAATTCACGATTTACGACTATGTTTAGGTTTTTTTTTGTTCTTATCGAATGTATAAACAAAAGGTCAACAGTTCGTATAAATGACGACGCGAGACCACATCATTATACGCGAGTAATGAGTTTATTCTGTTCGCTAAATAATTTATTTTGATTATCACTTACAATAGGTTACTACGTATTTATATCCTGAACGATTCGATCAAAAACGAAGCGTTTTTTTGCTTGGCAAGCAAACGAATTCAAATAATTTAAGTTATTAAGAAAATGCCTTTTTAGTAGATATTTCAGTAATATTTTAGATTATAATTAGATAATACATACTAGAGAATGAAAAAATAAAAAATTAGGAAAAAAACTCAACAAATAGACATCGATAAAGTTATGATAATTATTATTCCTCGACATCGTTGAATACATACATTTTACAAACTATTTCCGGTAAATAGTAGGTTTCTAAGTATGCATAATAATTGTGCTTATAATTTTCTATTATTTCATTGAAAAAGTGAATTTAATTTAAATTTTATTATCAGAAAATATAAAAAATGTATCTAAAGGTTCAAAATAAATATGAAAAATAATATTTAAAAAGAAAAACGGTTTTTAAAGATTATACATTTTTATCAACATACCATTATATGATTAGATATTTTAAGACGATAAATATAGCTTTTGAACGTTTTTGAAAGTTTAACAAATATACAAATATACWAATATTATATTTATATTTTAGAGCGCGTATATGGTAAAAGCAGCTACAATAATATGACGGCCATAAAGGGGGTAAGAGAATATGGCACATGACTCACCTGTGACCGTGTATATATTGATCTTTTGTTTTAGGGAGGTGTCTTTTTGGGTTTCTCTCTATCGTACCACCAGACAATATCGGTAAACTTTTACATATTATCCGGTGCAATATATAATGGAATATGGATTAAGTTGCGTGTGTTGGACTTATAAWTTTTTTTTGGACGCGTAAGACAATATTTTAAATACGACACATAAAATGAACTTTACTGCAGCAGACACGAGCGACAAAATACTTGCAAATTTTCAAGGTCAAAGTTTATATCATATACTCGTGCCATTACGCTGCAGYAGTGTATATATTGTACAAACCTCGTTTATGTATATGAATTTGTACGTATAAATTATGACTCATGCCAAGAACTGACTGACGTAAAACGAGTGTGATTGGTCGATAAAATACGTGCACAACTTTGAAGAAAAAAAAAACAACATTAAAAATTCACATCATAAGTTATTGAAATTTGAAAGTTTGAATCTAATTTTATCGTCGTTATACTGCCAGTCTTGTACTCTTAAAGGAGTAATGYATATGCAATTTAATAGCACGGTGGCGGAGGCAGTGTTTTTGTTTTTTAGTTCAAAGCATTATAATTGAAACGATTATGTTTTCACGTAWACAAATGATCGTGTTCATTAAAATACATCGATCTATCAACTTTTGTGACCTAAAAATGACACTTTAAAACATATACTTCAATAAAATTCCTAATTTCAAACCGATAAAATGTTGTCTCCTGCTGGAGTAGATATTATACCGCAATATATTCGGTACAACCACAGTTCGATAATATATAACAATACATATATTTTATGTATGATGTATACAAATTACAARTACAGTGTACAATTAAAATTTAAAAATTATAATTAACTAACTATATCAACTGTATAAATTATATATTATATTATAATAGATAGGTACCACTACAATGGTCACACCCATCACACCGTTTTATAATAAAGTAGCTCCCATATCAGACTCTAAAGTCTTACTAGATTATACTTTAATGGTTATAATAAAATTACGATTTCTAAAGAAATGAATACATCATTTATTATAATATGTTTAACTTACAGCGGTCATGCGTGCTGGTTGAAGTTGGTAGTGAACGTTTCCTGGACGGCGAACGAACACTTAATCTAGGTACGGCTATTCCTATCATGCTTAAGTCTGAAAATGTAAAGAATAATTGTTTAAAAACTACCACTTAACAAAAATACAAAATACAGTGGTGGAAAAGTTTTTGAAAAAAAAACACTTTTACATGTATACAGCAGTGTTTTAAATCAAAATTATAAATATTTATAATTCTAACCTCGACATCATTCAAATATAAAGTATAATACATGCTATATAATTATGAATATAATATGGCCACATTGGATTGAATTATCATATTTTATTAGGTAATATATATCTTCATAAAACCTTAAAATACCAACTCTCAAACAACTTATTAAAAAAAAAAAAAACAAAAAACAAAAAATTCTTCATTCTACAGTAACAAAATTTTCAAACTCTCGTAGTAATTCATTAATAAACCAATTATTCTCATTACAATTCTCCACAATTCAGAATGTAGTATGCAGAAGACTCAAAACAATTTGTCCCAGCAGATGTTTACTGTAATAATAAATAATAAGTCGCAGTCGCCCTAGTCGGGTGTTGGGTCCTGAGTGGCTTCTCATAAACAAGAGTTAACTTGTTATTTATTAAAAATATTCACTATTACACTATTATGCTATCACATTTATTGATTTTATATTTGTAAGGATTACAAATAATTATATAAGAGTACTAAATTATGTGTAAATAAAAAAAATACTCAGATTTGTTTATTCGTTAAAATGCTTATCTTTGAATTAGAATATACAGATGACAKACAGTACAGATAACATTAAGATTATGGAAGATATAACTTTATTTATACTTATATATTTATGCTCAATAATACTAGCTCTAGTTAAATATAATGTGTTAATGTATTATATATTAAAGTAGGTAGATAGGTTAGTAGATACATAATTTGAATGCAATGATAGGTACCTATCATTGTATACGAAAAACGATTCTGAACGGAGATGATTTGTCAGTCTAGGATAATCTATCATATTTAAATATTGTCATACATTCTATTTTGAAACAAATATTTTATTTTTCAATTAGGACGCATTTTGCATAAGGCATGGTTAATCAATTGTTCCAAAAACATTGCATGTAGTTATCATAATTTATAATACCTTATATTATCATAGATATAGGTACATATACCTGGTTTGAGGAGGATAAATCGTTATCATTACGCGATTTCATAAAACTTTAAAACTCAAACGCTCAAAACATTTTTCCTATAATGACGCTTCAAATTTTCTCTATAGCTATTTGA